GTTTGGCTTTCGTTGGATCTCTGCCTCTATTCTCTACATTCGAGAGAATAGAGGGAGATTTCAGTTTCATTCAGGTGAGGCAATATGCTTGATCACATTTGAAGATGACACAGCTTTTATAATCTTTAGCAACGTTTTTTATATAGCCACTCCTTTCGCCATTATCAAGTTCTGCTGCGTCAAAGTATTTGGCGCTGTTTCGAGATCAAACCGTGTTTTCTCAGACAAAAATAACCCTCGGCGATACCGGGCGAATGTGGAAGAAGCAAAAGTGACATAGACTTTAGCAGTGGTTCTGCTCGGCTTTACATCTTGTTAGCTTCCAGTTTACATTATGGATTTCATCAATGTCAAAAGCAAGGAAAATATCTTCGCACAACATGGGTATCTTGCCATCGCGTTTTTATTGTAACTGAGTTGCACCATCAATCCCTTCATATACGGTGCCATGAACAGGCACTTCAGAAGATAGTGCCGGCAATTCCATAAATACGTAAAATCCATCGCCTCAAATATCAGAACATTCATAAGTAAACTAAATGACGCCTCTCGTAGTCTCGTAATAACTCATATAGCCTAAATAACAGACTGATTTACTTATGCAAATTTATTAATGCGACTTCACAGGTTTATTGTTTTGGGTAAATGTAAGATAAAAAAGATGGCAAAATTTGATCTTAGCGGTCAAATAAGAAGACATTTATTCCTCTTGCCAGAAATGAGGGACAAAAATACCAACAAACAAAGAACTCCAATTTCAGAGTTTTTTTGGTTAAACTTGGATAGAACGTGATTGAACTTAATCCAGACCTTCGGATTTCTTTACTTTTGTTATTAGTTGCTATGTGTAGTTGTTTCTCTTATCCTGTGTCTAAACTGTAAAACTCAAAAACTGACTCGGAAAATTAAAAGAAAAATATTTTACAAAGTCTGAAATGTTGTGTTGATGTAACATACTATGAAGGGCTTTCCTTACACCGCTTCAAATGAGTCTGTTTCCATCGCAGCTTTGACAATAAATACTACCATTCTATGCCAAAGTGTTCCGCATAGGAAAACTTACTCTCTTACCATCTAGAAATTTCACAGTTAATCCCATTCTTGTTTGAACCAGCTTCTCAACCTAAGAATGATGAATGACTTCTCTTTTCGTAATATTCGGTCTCAGGTCTCTTTCTCAAACCTTCCGGGTTACTCGATTCAGTGCTGTTGTTAAGCTCACATGTGTTACTCTGGGGGAAGTAGCTGAATGACACACACGTCATCTCCGAGAGGCAATAGGCCATACACTTCCATGAAGATGTTACGTGATATTCCGTGTGAATCGCGTGATTTGTCAATGCTGACTGCACACCAGTTTTTGTAACGGGTTGGTAAAACAAAGCATCTTCATAAGGGATGGCTCGGTTTTCTTTGATATAGGGTGAAAATAACATCACAGAGATTCATGAAAATATGGCACTTAGAGTCTACACAACCGAGTAGTATACGTATTATTGTGCTTCTGTTCAGTAAAAGATCACATCAAAATGCGGTAAAAACAAAAAAAGAGCTAACGAGGTGCAGCCGAGTGTGTCACTGATGTTTACATTTTTTATATTTTTAGAAACTCGTTTTCGGCATTGTTCTCTCAAGTTCTATATTCTGTTTTATCAGTCAATCAGAAGTCAGAAAGCTTTAGTCGGTCACTAAGATTTGTGCTAATAGTACAAGAGGAGTAACATGCCCTAAGAATTGTTGAGAAGAAGTCTACAGTGTCTTATGATCATTGTAAAGGCAACCGATGGATTACTAACCTACGCAATATCTCGCTTTCACTTTGAATTCCAAAGCTGTCGGCTGCAGCTTATACACATAGTATCCATAGCAATGCCTGACTAGAGCCTGCACTTCGGCAAAGCAGCAATTGTCATTCCAACTAAAGCAAACATTCCGGTGTACAAGGCCCTCTTCCATTGATGGATGACCCCCGCGAAGCCAGCCTGAGGCCTGAGTTCCACAAGTCCAAGGTTCCGTGCAGGAGTCCGGTAGCTGGCGAGAAATTTAGATATTCTAAATTTCTGTAATTCGTTAATAACCTCTTTATAAAGGGGAAGGAATAATTAAAAATTGGTTTTTCTATCTTTGATTTGGAAACTGGTCAAGACAAGCTCCCAGTTACATTTCCGCATTAATTTTGTGCAGAAACTTCGCGAGACTAGACTGTCCGACCTAATTTTTTCCTGCTGTCGGTCAGTGAAAAATACTAGAGCAGTTTGCATTACCTATTAGGGAAACGCAATATTTCACAATTTAACTGGACGTATCTTTTATTTTATGCCTCACCCTGTCTCAACTCTCAACCTCAAGACCTCCCCTCTACAAATGCTTTTTATTCTACTCTGCCTCCTCTAACCGGACAAAATTATAACATAGATCAGACCTGGACTGGGGTTCCTGTGGCTTGACTAACAAATCGGTACCATGTACGGTTATCAATGTCCCCATCATTTTGTGCCGACTGTTGGTTATGCACTACGTGAAGTGCTGTTCTAGTCCCTTCAACCAGGTCTCTGAATTCCGTGCACATCGCATATCTGCCTTGAATAAAAGAGAGAATATCTTTTCATATTGTTTTAGTGAAGGTAAGTAAGATGAAGTCTGTACTCAAGCCTACTAGCCCATCCAACCGGAGCTTATCGCGGTTTCCATGGCATGTAGCGACTAGGGGTATTACTACCCCTTCCCCCCTCCCCTCCCCTGGATGGAATGCTATTTCATCACATGGTTACCCCTCAACATTTCACCAGGCTTCCCGGAAAATTCGCCGGTACCCATTTGCATTCTGGGTGGAGAGAGACACTGCGAGAGTGAAGTGTCTTGTCCAACAACACAATACATCGACCAGGCCAGGTATTGAACCCAGACCTCTTGACCGGGATTCCAGTGCACTGACTATAAGGAGTCTTTGTCCACTGTGTCTCTCACACTGTTTAAGTAGTTTTCTGGAAAAAAGAAAGACTCGGCCAATTTGGGTGAGAACTTTTCTTTTTCTAGATACTAATTCATGTAAATTTGTCAATACGTGATATTTGGAACTCAAACACACCGCATGCTTTGCGATGCTGACTTTATTAGAGAAATCCGTGAACACAAAAATTTATCAGATATCAAAAACGCAACGATAAAACCACTTATTTAAAGAAAAGGACTGATGGCAGGACATAACTGATAAACTAAATTCTGAGCGTAGAGGTTGTTCTTGGACTGCCTAACAGAATTTTCCATTAAGAGATCCACGCCTGGCTCTTGCTTATGAAACGGTGCGGGTTCTTTTACTTACTGTGCAAGTTCAAAACAAATCTGTGATAATCAGCGCCATGTTTGTTGCGGGCCACACAGTCAATTGTCCACTTGGTAGTATCCCTTTGAGCAATGATTGACAGATTCAGTGTCAAGTCGGATGAGCTGTTTTGAAGGACGACACCATTTTTGACCCAGGCCACAAACGGTTCAGGATAACCGAAAGGCTCTGGACAGACCAGAGTTATAGAAGTTTGGTAATAGGCATCCTGCACTGAGTGTTTTACTGGCTTGTATTTCAGAATGGCTAGAATGAGGAAGACGCTGTCATCATCTTTTTTAATCGCTCTACAAAGCCAATCTTTTACGTTCGTATTTAGTAACAATCTTATTGTAAGTGCTGTAACCAATGGCTGCGGAGTGGGATTAGTAACTAAGAAGGAGTGTTGTTTGTCTACTATGACCAAATGGGCACAGACGAGGCTCTTGTGGTATCCATTATTGAGACATTGATCTACAACTCTTCCTCTTCTCCCTCCCTATTAATTCGCTCTTTCCTCTCTCTC